ATACAAATGTACGATGACTTCATTACCAGAATCATCATAAATTGTGTACACATTTTGTCTCCTTGGTAATTTAACATAAACCACTTATCTTTGATTGGTCCCAAAGATAAATATGTCATCTACATACAAACACAACGACTCTATTACCAGAATCATCAAACATTGTATATACAATTTTGTCTCCTTGGTTTATCGTAAACCACTTAGACAAAACCACACCATCAAACCACTAGACAAATCCATATTTGTCTAGCACTTCGTAAATGTCGAATAGAGAATTAGACAAATTAACCATTGAGTATGTGACCTACCCAAAAACAATTTTCATTCTTCTATTTCTCCATTTTACGAATCATTCTCCTTCTTCCTCATCTTCGAATCATCCCTCTTCCAAGTTACCTTCCGGATATGGAATACACCATGAGACTAGTACGAAGAACACCCATCTTCTACTGCCATCGATGAAAAACCCATCATCGAACATTCTCATAATTCCATAGACCGGAACCGGTTTCTTGTAAAAAGCGGTTCGAGCCATCGTACCGGAAAAATATTCTTTTCGATTGTTGGGACTTTTAGGGACGAGGGTACACGTACGATAGCCCGAGACCGGGTGACCAGGATTGTGATAGAGTCGTGAACAACGTTCACTTTCCGAAAAGAATATTTCCACCCTTAACAAGCCTAGGGTTACAGGAAATTTCTCCCGAGGATAAAACTATCACCACTTTAGGTTCCAGACTTAAGTACCTAAAGCATACTTAGAAGTTTAGTAGGAAGAAGAATGAATTTTTGGTGTGTCCTCCCACCAACCGATACCATCTATTTATAGATTATGAAACCATATCTACTTCATAACCGAAGTGATACAATGTTTCACGGTTGGCAGATAGTTAAAATTGAATAGGTGCATCCATTCAGCCAAGAGACGTACATGTTTGTTGATTTCAAAGCCAATGCAAAACCGCCACCATGCAATGGACGTATAACTTTGTCCATTTCAAATTCAACCCAAACGTTGGATGGTTTGGCAAAAAGACACATTCCTTTTCAAAATGGACACATGTATTGGCCGAGTCACATTAGTTGGTTTGATTGGTTTAATCCCAAACCGGTTGGTCGGTCCAATCCAAAATCGGTTTGACTTGGTTAGTCCAATTCAACCAAATTTCCAACAGGTGTACATCTCTTGCTTAATAAATATTTAATAAAAGAGTCAAAGCTACAAAGTTAAGACACACCATCACATACTTGTATGAACAAATCGAATGAAATAACAGTCATAGAGCACACGATTTATGTGATTTCTCCGTTCGATATGAACGAAAGTGTTCAACGGAGAGGTAGGGCTCTCTGTTCGTTATTATAAATGTTCTTACTCACTTCTCCAAGTTACAGATGCACAGCCCGCATGTACATGAAGGCGTGGGAGATATCTATATTTTGCTTCTTCCCACAAAGCACAGAGCTCAATATAGTGGCTGAGGCACTCAACTTTTATTGCGGCAGAGGACTAATCAATTTCTGTAACTCATAGTGGCAAGGTGTCGAGACGAGCTTTAAGATCATCCCATATTTACTTTGTCGTCTTTGCGAACTCTACATTGCGCCTTACCTCTGTAGTCATGGAGCCTTAAGCCAACCATTGATTGTTGCTTCACATCTTGTCTCATTAACTTGACTTTTCTCGTGCGTTGATTGGCTGAGGACGAGATCCATCCAAAAACCCTAACTTGTTTTTCGCCAATAGTGAATCGACCATGTATATGACCCATTCTCCATATAGTTGCTAGTTGTAATAAGTCCGTCCCTAAAGTGTAAGCATGTATATGACCCATCTTCCCTCTCTTGGCCTTTAAGATATGTTGTGTAAGAATAAGTTTCAAAAATATTGGAGCCTTTGGTTTTGTGGACTAATTAGAGGTGTTGAAATTTTAAGTTATTATTGTGGTCTCAATTCGTTACTCCTACAATAATCAATTCATCATGGGACGCCACTATTACCTAGTCAGTTATAGGTTTGAGATTCCGCAACGAAAGTATACCACACTAATATTTGTAATGAAAATTCTCAAACAAGTTGAGGAATCCGAATGGCATATGGATTTGTTTTGGTGCCAGAGGGTGGAGTTTGAATGTGATTGTGTCTTTGGTTTATGTTTTATTGGTCATCAATTTGTTCAGTTGTGTAAGTTTGGTCCCTACTGTTAAATAGGGACTTCGGTTAGTGGATAATGGTCAAGTGATCATGGTAGCTGATTTAGGGGAGTCATGGGGTGGGATTTGGTTTCTGTTACAGCCGAGATTGAGGGCTGAAGTCATGTATATATTTGTTTCTCTTTCATTCTAATAAAGTCGTTAGTTTACCCCCCAAGTTGAGACCACATTGTGGTATCAGAGCTTGCTCGTAAACTATAACCAAAAGCAACAGAACACGTGTGAAGCAAAGGAGAGAAAGAGAGACGAGTGAAATTGTTTGAATTCTGGGTTAGGGAAACACGAGTGTGATAAGTGAGGTTTGATTGTATCTCTGGTGAGAGGATCAAAGAAAAGATGAGTGAGGGAAGCTTTGCTCAAGTGTGTATCCCAAAGTTCGATGGAGATTATGAGCACTGCTCATGGAGAATTTGTTGAGGTCAAAAGAGTATTGCCCAGTGGTGGTTGGTGGGTTCAGAGAGCCTAGTGAGGGAGAAGAGTTGCTTGTTGCACAAAAAAAAAAAAACACTCGAAGAGAATAGATTGAAGGATCTGAAAGCCAAAATTATCTGTTCTCCTCAATCGACAAAAGCATATTGAAGACCATCACACAGAAGGCTACTGCAAAGAAACTATGGGACTCAATGAAGACTAAGTTTCAAGGCAGTGCCAGGGTGCCGAAGCAGAAACTGCAATCCCTCAGAAGAACATTTGAGTTGCTCGAGATGAAGGAAGGAGAGAGTATAACAGATTACTTTGGCAGGGTGATGGTGGTTTCAAACTCCATGAGAAACTATGGAGAGCCAATGCCAGATTCCAATATAGTTGAAAAGGTACTAGGAACTTTGACAGAGAAGTTTAATTACATTGTTTGCTCTATCGAGAAATCTAAGGACATATAAGAGCTATCTGTTGATGCCCTGCAAAGCTCCCTACTGGTTCATGAACAAAAATTTAGCAAGCAACCAACAGAAGAGGATCAAGCTCTCAAAGCAACACATGAGTTTGCAGGAAGAGGGGGCAGGTTCCAGACTAAAGGTAGTTACTATGGAAGAGGAAGAGGTGGCAGATCCTGGAATCCTGACATGATTGAATGTATTAAATGTCACAAGATGGGGTATTACAGGAGTGAATGTCCGGGGTGGTTGACTCGCTATGACACAACTCCTAACAAAGGCCAAGTGTAACAAATGAAAGGGACTGCAGTATAGTGGCTCAAGTAATAAATATCGAATCTACGGGTCTCTAGAGTTACTATTACTCAGCTTCAGTTCATTATCTAGCAAACCAGATTAAGATAGAAGAACTAAAACTACTCTAACAAACTACAGTTAAAGTTAATCTAATTACAAGTTGGGAACTCACTTAGGTATGATTCCCCCTAGCCACTAGCCAGATTAATGATTGATGATTTCTAACTTGTTTCACTTTCATTCACAATGCGGAGAATCCTTGACTAGACCTTGAATCTCGACTAAAGGATCAAGGCCCTCTTGAGTCGATTGCCTAGAGGGACGTATCCTTCTCTAGAACAACCGATCAAGGCGTTCTGAACTAGACTCCCTCTATCAAATGAGGTTCTCAATCGATACAAATCAGTGAATCGGCACTCGACTAAAGCAATCGATCCAATACTATCAATCTATGGTGCTCTATTGACCTAATCAGGTATTCGCTCTCATAGGATCAAAGCAGAATCAATAATCTCGACTAAAGCAGAATTGAAACATGAAAACGTGCATAGATTGAATATGAACTCAAGATTATCAAGTAGGAGTACTCATACAATCATCCAATCAAACAAACATAGCTAGGGTTCCTCAAAACCTAAGTGAAGAGAAGTTACTCCATAGAGAAGAGAGAGACTGCAGTAAGAATCTTTAGATGATCAGTCTTCAAGTCCGGGCTTGTTTCTCGAGCTTCCAAGGCGAAGAAATCCTCCAATTACACTCCAAGAATGCCCTCAAATCGCCCTCTCTCTCTCTTTGGTTCGTCCCTTTGGTGTTTGGGATCCAAAACCTAGCTCCCCCTTTCCTTTGGCTTCAATCTGCCTCAAAAACCCGATTCTGGGCAAAACACGGTCGAAAACACAACCGTGTTTTGCTTTTGCCTGTCTGTGCCCTTGCCATGTGTTAAAAACACGCCCGCGTCGGCCAAAACACGGTCGTGCCTAAATATGGACACGACCGTGTTTTTCTTTAGGCCAGCCCGTGTTTTGCTTTTCCATCAGTTCAGCTCTCGCACATAAAAACAATGGCGTGCATGTTTGTGTACACGACTGTGTTCTTCAGGCCTCCTGCCCATGTTTTGCCCCCAGCTCGACCGAATGACCTCCAAACGCCCCGAATCTCGTGCTTAGCCTTTCCTTCGACGTCTGGGACCTGAAATATGACAAAGTAGCACAACCCATCGTAAAACGAGCAAAAAATACACGACTACTAGCCGCAAACGGATAAGAACGAAGGGTGCAAACATGTGTAATTATTGGTCTATCCCCCACACTTAACCGTTTGCTTGTCCCCAAGCAAACCTAACTCAAACCAATGCAACTCTACAGACCTCTATAGCAACAAACAACCCCGATCGTCCGTAGAGGATTTTCTAGATTATAAAGCAGCTTACGAGGTCAACTGGTCTTCTAAGACGCCCCCTATCTCTCTCAATGCGAGTACTAGACTCAAGCCAGGATCATGAGAAGAAGTAGAAGTAAGACAGTTAGTTCATGGATAAAGGGACTCACACCATTCACAACCAAGGACTCGTACCGGGGGTGCTCTTTCACATCATTTCACCGTTGGAACCCCTTTCTCACTTCCATTTTACTTTTTTTTCTTTTCTTTTCATTCACTTGGCGGGGGTTCCAACTGCAGTCTTTTGCCCGGCCGACCCTTATTAGTCGAGCAAGAGCAATTTCTGTACATCTGGCGCTCGCCAGAGTACTTCTTTTAACTCCTTTTCCTCAACTCGTGTGGAGGGTCAATGAAATTAAGGGGGGTCGGAAGCTCTATCCGTGCCCTTAAAAACATATCCTCAGGTAGGCAAACCGTTCAACGGGTGGAAGTTTTACTTGTACTAGAGACAGCTTGGCTTCACCTTGTAGGAGTACCCCACTAAGGATCACTAAAATCTCCTCCAAAACCTGATTTTGTGCAATGAATGGTGCCACACACATTGGGCTTACCCCATGTTTAAGATTTTGATGATTTCGACATGGAGGAACAACTGCTTTTCATTTTCCACATGAGCACCATGTTCGATACACGAGTCCATAACACAATCCAAATAGAGTCACCATTACCACATGAATTCAACAGTCTTAGCTCCACTAATTCACAAAATCAACTGGCACATCAGAGAGCTAGATAGGAAAAATCTTATACTTCAACATCCTCCATAGTGATACACTACCTCCCTAGGTTGCAATTACTATAGAGACTGTCAACTCAAAGCATACTGAGCAGGCAATTTGCAAGGAAACACGTACTTGGAGCCATCAAATTCAAAAATTTGGACAGTGGACTAGGCTCCAAGCACACAAACAGCCAAACATTCACCCGCATACATAATCGAACATCCCCCCACACTTAAGCACGACATTGTCTTCAATGGAGGAAAGATAAGGAGGGTAGAACGAAGTTACTAGATCAAGGGTGAATGATGGTGGACGGGGCCGGCAGTGTATTCCAGGAGGAGAGAGTAGTCGGAACACAAACACCACACAAAATCTCACAAAGGTTGAGTTATTGACTCTAGAATCAAAGGACAAAACTGACTCAACCGAGGGGAAATAGATAACGAAATGCAAACTGACTGGTTGGGTTGCCTCCCAACAAGCGCTTCTTTCACGTCGTGAGCCGGACGATGGCTCCTAAGTTTCGGTCCACCCCAAAACCTCTTTGAAGTTGAGGTTCTCATCTATGAGGTGGAGTCTCAAGTCACGAGTATGTGGTATGACATGTGATGGAAGCTCGTGCACTTGATGCAGATGAAGTCTCCACCCTCGAGACCTCTTCTTCTCTTCTCTCGTCTCATTGCCCCAAACTAGATATCACAACATCAATTGACCACCATCGCGTCCACCAAGAGGGACCGATATCGATGTGGCCTTGGTCTAGCAAAGAGACACTGCAAACGGGTCCTTGCTAAGAAATTCCTCGAAGTTTGGTGGGGATATCACATGTAACTCATGGCCGGTGCAAGCCTCTTCCACCTCAACTTCGTCCTCGGCCTGGACGCCAATTGCTTCTTCAACCTCCCTTTCTTCTTCATGTGGTATCACCCCTAGGAAATGATCAAGAACTCTTTCTGCTTCACTTTCATCACCCTCCACAACTTCTTCATGCACCCTTTCTTGCTCTTCTTCTTCTAGCACGGACTGGAGAGCAAGTTTCCAAGCAATTTCCTTCATGAGATCTTCTTGCATCTCCTCACTCATGCCCGCATCTTCAAATCTTAGTTTGGGATGTGGGAAGGTGTGGTCGGCTACGACAGGACATTCCTGATCATGATCATCACGGGAGCTCTCCGTGACAACTTTAGTGTGCTCCACAATGTCCTTGTAGCCTTCTTCTTCCTCCTCCTCTTCTGGTATGGTAGTAGAAGGGTGATCTGGAACAGGTTGTGCATAAGATCGCTCAAGATCATCGACGCTCTTCTTAATGCTCAGGAGGATCTCCTCTGTTTTATGATATGTCTGGGTACAAAGATCCATCCTGGACCATGATCTCTCACTATCTCGAGAAAACTGCTCCATGAGAAGCCTCAATTCATAGTTTGGATCTGGCTGTGGAGTGTAGCATGGCTCTGCAGAATGGCCCGTAAAGGCCGCCATGGGTAACTCCGGCTCCGATGGCCCTTCTGGTTGTGGGAGAAAGTCTTCTTGGTAATGAGGTTGTTCTTGATATGCCCAGGGGTCTGATTGTTCTCCGTAGTAAGGGGGTTGGTACTGGAACCCGAATCCATAGTCTTCTCCTCCTTGATTGCTCCAGGGAGTCTCGGGGTAATACCACTCGGATGGTGGTGGATACCCCCAATGGTTGGAGAAGCCATGAGGATCCATGATTCAGATCTGCACCAACAAAAACAAAAACACCCAAGTGAAAAGCAAGGTTGGAAAAGAAAAGAAAAACGCTAAAGTAACAAACTTCTTTCTTTCCTAATACTCTAGAAAGTTCCCCAGCAACGGCGCCAAAAACTTGACTCGCTATGACACAACTCCTAACAAAGGCCAAGTGTAACCAATGAAAGGGACTGCAATATAGTGGCTCAAGTAATAAATATCGAATCCACGGGTCTCTAGAGCTACTATTACTCAGCTTTAGTTCATTATCTAGCAAACCAGATTAAGATTGAAGAACTAAAACTACTCTAACAAACTACAGTTAAAGTTAATCTAATTACAGGTTGGGAACTCACTTAGGTATGTTTCCCCCTAGCCACTAGCCAGATTGATGATTGATGATTTCTAACTTGTTTCACTTTCATTCACAATGCGGAGAATCCTTGACTAGACCTTGAATATCGACAAAAGGATCAAGGCCCTCTTGAGTCGATTGGCTAGAGGGACGTATCCTTCTCTAGAACAACCGATCAAGGCGTTCTGAAGTAGACTCCCTCTATCAAATGAGGTTCTCAATCGATACAAAGCAGTGAATCGACACTCGACTAAAGCAATCGATCCAATACTATCAATCTATGGTGCTCTATTGACCTAATCAGGTATTCGCTCTCATAGGATCAAAGCAGAATCAATAATCTCAACTAAAGCAGAATTGAATCATGAAAACGTGCATAGATTGAATATGAACTCAAGATTATCAAGTAAGAGTACTCATACAATCCTCCTGAAACACCATAACCCGGCCGGGTACTACTTTTACTAAAATGCCCTTGATAAATAAAATACTCAAATCTTAAATTGCAACTGGGAAAAATTTTAATAAGTAAAATACTGAAAACACACACTTGTAGTTCAAAGCAAAGCCCTAACATGTGGGCAATTTAAACTCAACCTTTAAAAACTCAACTTGATCTCAAAATAATCTCCAGTCTGTACTCATAATCAGAAAAGTAATTAACTAATAAACTCTGAAGCTGTTGCTACTGAAAACCTTGACTAAGCATCCTCCGTGACGCTTATACTGCTCTCCTCCAACTGGCTGCTCTCGGACTTTTCCTCTCGAACTCGCTGCTCTCTAACTGCTCCTCTAGCAAGCTGCTACCGATCTGGTGCTCGCTCATTCCCTTACTAAGGCCTGGTGAGTGAGTTGGGGTCAGTCTACGCCCTTACGTTTTAAACTTTCTAATAATTTTGCACTTCTTCTCAAACACTTAAACTCAAACTGAGGGAAGTTGTTTGTACTTCCATTCTTAAAATCTTAACTCTTAAACTTTGAGGGAGTTGAAGTTACTCTTCTCTCTTAAAGCTCAAATCTTGACTTAAATACTTGACTAACACGGGGATCCCTCACTAGCTAGTCCGGTTGCCAACTCATACGTATGAGAAGCCATCCAGGCTTTCCTTAAACTTAAACTTAGTTAGGGAAGTCGTAACGATTCATCCCCCTAACATCTTAAACTTATCGTGGTGGCTCTTCACCACGAATCTCAAGGGCATAAATGCTGCCCATCTTAAAAGTCTCAAGAGCATAACTGCTGCTGTGTCTCAAAGATCTCAAGAGCATAACTGCTGCTCTATCTGAAAATCTCAAATGGCAACGGACTGGCGCTAGTGACTAAAAACACTTAAAACGACTTCACCTTCTTGAAGGTGAGTTACTTCTTTAAAAGAACTTGTTTCTTACTCTTTAATAATTACTTATACTCGTACAAATTTCAAAGTAACTTATAAACATTCACTTCAAGCATAGCTCAAACAAAATCACCTCAAATAGCACAAAATCATCTCAAACCATAACTCAAGCAAAACACAAATAATCAATCATACACATAACCAAGCAACGATAACCAATTCGCTAAAAAAAAAAAACTTAAAATCATATACTTAAAAGAATACGTAAGGCGTAGAATTTACCCCCTTCACACTCACCTTACTATCCGTTGTCGATTCTCATGGTAACTCGATATCCTTCATGTTAAGACCCCTCTTCCTTGTCGACGCATGACCAGTTCTATACACAAGAGTTCAAGTTAGTGGTTTACATCTTGTGAAACTTGCTGCCAAGCCCATGAACCACCAACTCCCCACGTGTAAGCAACATATATTGCTACGAGCACTTCTACTATGCTATATAGCATTGGTGCTTTAATGTACAACTTGAAGTTGTACCATAACATTAAATGTATAAGTTTAGGTTGTACCATAAAGGAATTTGTATTATTATGTTATGGTACAACTTTACAACTTAAAGCTGTACCATCACATAAGATACAAGTTTAAGTTGTACCATAAAAAAATTTGTACAAAAAGTATAGGTACAATCTGAAATTGTACCGTAACGTTATGGTACAATTTTAAATTGTACCATAAAGACAAAAATCTATAGCACCAATGCTATATAGCATTGTAAAATTCCTCATATTGCTACCCCACAATTATCTCTACAAGCTTCCCAGCTCAATTTTATTACCTCGCATATAGATTTCCATCTAAGCATCCATCAGGATCATTGTCCATCTAGGATGAAAAAAAGCTTAGTCCATACCCTTTTGCTTGTGCCGCCCAGGCGCCCACATATAAATCTCCAATGTAATCTCTAAATCATATAGCTTTTAGAAGAGTATCAAAATAGACGAGTACCTCCGGAGCCATCCAAAATGCAGTCCCCTTGCATGATTTGACATCGTTCAGTCTAGTGGCCTTCGCCAGCCCAAAATCCGCAAGTTTCACAGATCCACTTGCATCTACTAATATGTTTGCGCACTTGATATCCCTTCAACAAGCAAAAGGAAAGCCACTGTGTTTTGTCTTTTTGGGAGGGGTTTCATAAAGATGGGAACTGCTCCAGGTTTGTGCGAGGGAACGGAAGTGCTCCAGGCGGTGCAGAGCGGCCGAGAGCGGCTGGGGAAATCTCCTCCGCTTTGTTCCTTTGCAAGCCCTGAGCGAAAAGCTTTTAATCGGTGGGTGGGGGAATTGTAGAGATTTTTTTCCCCCTTCGGTTCCGCTAGCTCTAATAGATCCCTAGGGTTAGGTTTAGGGTTTAATTAGTTATAGGATATTTTGGGAATCTCACAATTACGTGTGAGTTTAATCCGAACTCAATTAACGTCCGTAACTTATTCAATTTAGATCGAAACTCGACACCGTTTGAACCGAGAGTTCTCATTTTTAGTCCTCATCGATATTACGATGGAATTTGACGAATTTCCCCCAAGGGATTAATAGTCATTTTGACTTTTGGCAAGATCGGGGTGTAACACCTCCAATCAAACAAACATAGCTAGGGTTCCTCAAAACCTAAGTGAAGGGAAGTTACTCCATAGAGAAGAGAGAGACTGCAGTAAGAATCTTTAGATGATCAGTCTTCAAGTCCGGGCTTGTTCCTCGAGCTTCCAAGGCGTAGAAATCCTCCAATTCCACTCCAAGAATGCCCTCAAATCGCCCTCTCTCTCTTTGGTTCGTCCCTTTGGTGTTTGGGATCCAAAACCTAGCTCCCTCTTTCCTTTGGCTTCAATCTGCCTCAAAAACCCGATTCTGGGCAAAACACGGTCGAAGACACGGCCGTGTTTTGCTTTGGCCCGTCCGTGGCCTTGCCACGTGTTAAAAACACGCCCGCGTCGGCCAAAACACGGTCATGCCTAAATATGGACACGACCGTGTTTTTCTTTAGGCCAGCTCGTGTTTTTCTTTTCCATCAGTTCAGCTCTCGCACATAAAAACACTGGCGTGCCTGTTTGTGTACACGGCTGTGTTCTTCAGGCCTCCTGCCCGTGTTTTGCCCCCAGCTCGACCGAATGACCTCCAAACGCCCCGAATCTCATGCTTAGCCTTTCCTTCGACGTCTGGGACCTGAAATATGACAAAGTAGCACAACCCACCGTAAAACGGGCCAAAAATACACGACTACTGGCCTCAAACGGATAAGAACTAAGGGTGCAAACATGTGTAATTATTGGTCTATCAGTGGTACAACCAGCAACAGGCTCACCACTCCAGTTATGCTCCTGCTCCTCCTCAAGGATCATCTTACAATGACATGAAATATTATGTTCTTCTAGTGGCTTACGTTGAGGAGGAGGAGGGGTTGCCCCTAATGGCTTTCATGGAAGCACAACAGCTAGCACAAAACACCAACTGGTGGTTCCTGGATTCTGGATGCATCAATCATATGTGTGGTGATCGTAAGTGGTTCACTAGCCTCGATAATAATTTCAAATGCAGTGTTAAGCTTGGAAATGGCACGACACTAGAAGTGGTAGGAAAGGGAAGTGTGAAGCTAGTAGTGGAACAAGTTCCACTGGTAATTCAAGATGTGTTTCTAGTGTCAGGTTTAAAGACAAATCTTCTTGTGTCTTGAGTGTTGGACAGCTGCAGGAAAAAAATATGACTTTTCTAATTAAGAATGGAAGGTGTCAGATCTTTTATGAGGAAAGAGGCTTGCTTCTACAGACTAACATGAAAACAAATCGAATGTTTATTTTGCATGCCAAGCAAGCAAACTCAACTGACAATCTGCAGTGTCTCCAAACCAAACAAGTGAAGAATGAAGATTTGCTTCTTTGGAACAGAAGGTTTGGTCACTTAAACACAAAAAGTCTGCTTGATATGCAAAGGAAGGAGCTGGTGTAGGGTCTCCCCAAGCTGAAAGGAAAATTGGAAGTGTGTTCAACTTGTCTGATAGGCAAACAACACAGACACAGCTTCCCAAAGAAAAGCACCTGGAGAGCAAGTCAGAAGCTGCAATTAGTCCATGCTGACTTGTGTGGACCTATCACTCCAACCTCAAATGGAGGAAAGAGGTACATTTTGACCATTACTGATGACTTAACTAGAAAACTATGGGTTTATTTTCTAGTGGCTAAGTCCGAGGCTTTGGAATGATTTAAGAAGTTTAAATTACAAATTGAGAATTAAACTGGAATGCACATCAAGTGTTTAAGAACTGATAAAGGGGGGAGAGTTTCTCTTGAAAGAGTTTCAGCAGTTGTGTGAGGAATATGGAATCAGGAGGCAGCTTACAGCTTCCCTGTAACACCCCGACCTTTGAGTTCAGGTTCGACCAAAATACGTGAATGATTGGTTTAACGGTTATGTACTAAGGGTTGCAACCGCGCATTAAGAATAATAATAATAATTTTTTATTATGACTATTATTATCAATTAAAAAAAACATATACTGGGCGGCCAGAAAGGGCCGAGCGACCCTCCATCCAAAATTTCCCAGCTCCTATTAACCCATCCCAAAACCCTTCACAGCAGCTGCCATCCCTCCCCCTTATTTTTCCGGCGCAGCAGAAGCGAAGGGAGAGCAGCAACACAGCGGCCTCCTCGTGTCCCAACAGTCGTCGTCCCTGCTCCTCATCGCGGGCGGGAAGAAAAGAAGAAGGAGTCGCCGCACCCTGTTCTCGACCCCGATCCCATCCCTTCCACATTTCTAGGTAAGGATCACGAACCCCTTCGCGATTTCTAAACTTGATTCACCGATAGTCTAATCCGAAGCTCGTATTTTATTAGCGGTGACGTTTGAGGGTACGATCATCGACGACGAGGAGATCAACGTCTGGGCCATCCAATCTAGTCCTAGGCACGTTCTAGAGGTAAGAGAACTCGATCCCTTTGAGTTATATCGATTAATTTGGGGATTTTTCTGTGAGGGTGCAATTCTGGGTTTTTAGCAACAGACGTTGCAGGCTTTTAGTGACAGATTTTTGGTTGTCACTAAAACTGCAGAGACTTTGCAGAAACTTATTTTGGATGTTTTAAAGTATTTCGAGCCTCTGTGGGTATTTGTTCCTAGGTTTCACAATTTTATAAACTGAGGGAGGTCTAGGTGATGGCTGTAATTTAATTTGGGGATTTTTGAAGATGTATTTCTATTTTTAGAAATTGTTTGAATGTTTATTTCAATTAAATAAAAATCTTACCGAGTGGATTTTTAGGGTTTGATAATTTTATGGGGTAGAGGTGCTCATAGTTGACATAGAAAAATTATTATCCGAATTGTTAAGAAGGTTCAATTCAGGTGAAAAATTTGTCCAAGATAAAAATAATTAGGAAAATGGTCGGTTTTGAATGGATTATTTCTAGAAAGAGCCGTGTCTAGCGGAGGCGGGAGGAAGGCCGAGAACTCGGCAACGGCGATCGCGACTGGTGGGGGTCAAGCGATGGAGAGGCCCCGACCCTATCCTCCTAGACGACCCGGGGTGTCGGGAGTTCGAAGTTGGCCGTTGAATTGTGGCCAGAGGAGGGACCTCGAAGAGAATGGCGATGGAGCACCAATGGTGAGGGTCGTCGAAGAGGAAGACGATGAACCGATAGAGGAGGAGCCAAAGGAGGAAAAACACCCGGGGCTTGGGCGTGAGAATGTAGACGTTGACGCGACTAAAGATGTGAGTGTAAAGAGGGTAAAATCTCTGTCGTTGACTCACTCCTACTGTCACCCTAAAAAATAGCCAAGTGTAACCACTTCCTAGAGTGTAGTATAGCGGGTTTGGGTTTTATTGTCAACCCGGGTCCTAGATGTGATGACTACTTAGTGAATTCTTATTATCTAGCAGTGAAACTTTAGTGCAGATTCAATTAAGCAAACAAGCAAGCAACTAATTGGTTGTTTTCAAGTCGAGAGGAGGTCACCCGGATATGGTTCCCCCTAGACTGCAGTCAAGCCGGATTGCAATTTACCAAGTTCAGTTTTAATGATAGTTATACTGCGGGAGGTTCTTAAGCAGTCTAAAGTCTCGACTAAAGGTCTCCAGACCCTCTCAATCTGAGTCCCCAGCGGGCGACTAACCTCCACCGGAGTAAACAGATTGAGGCCCTAACGAACCAAACCTCCACTACCGAAGTAAATTCGGTACAGAATAGTGAATTGGCTCCTCGACTAAAGTCGCCAATTCACTACCTTCAATTAAGGGTGCTCTATCAACCTAGGCAGATATTCTCTTTCTAGGCTAAAGCAGAAATAATAGGAATTTGATCAGGATTCAAGTCATTCAATCATTCAAGCCTCAATTGAATATAATCAAATCATAGAATCTGTACTTGGGTTCATACAATCAGACCTAACACACTAATCTAGGGTTCTCCATACCCAGATGAATGGGAAAACTACTCCATTGAGAGAGAAGCAAAAGCAGGTTCAGATGCAGAAATCATGTTGTGAAGGATGAGAATCTGCTCCTGGTCGTCAATCGACACTTCTCCAAGTGTAAGCCGAGCTCCAATGGTGATGAAGATCAAGCTAGGGCACTTGGGAACACTGGTTCGTCGCTCTCTCTCTCTAGGAATCGCTTTCTTTCTCTAAAACTCGGAACTCCCTTCTCCTCTGCTGGAAATTGGCTTAAAACCAGAAAATCCCAACTCACACGGCCGTGTGACATCCCCAGCTGCCCGTGTGAGTTGTGAAAACTGCAGCGTTTTGATAAGTGGCTTCAGGCTTCCTACACGGCCACGACCCACACGGCCGTGTGGCTTTTAGGCATGCCCGTGTGGCTTCTCGCCAAACGTCAAAACTTCGTCCAACCGACCCCGAACTCGTTCCTAAACCTTCATTCACGTACTAGGACCTGAAATATCACAAACAAGAACAACCTAGCGTGAAATCGGGCTAAAACGCGAGAATCGACATCTCAAACGGCTCAAGGATAGGGTAAAACATGTGTAATCAATGGTCTGTCAGTCGTAGGTCTTTTAATTTATGCTTTTCGTTCAAGTTATTAATTAGTTAATTTTTTTGAGTAACGCGCTATATGTCTGTGAGGCATCCCACTGCCTATAACGGTGGAGGCACGCGTTGTGCTATATATGAATGTATGGATTTGAGATGGTAGTAGTTGATTAATGGTAAGATGAACCCCCGGGCGGTTAGGCCACTACTGGACGCGGTAGTTGGTCGGATAACTACTGAACGACGAGACGTAACGCATCAGTTGGTCGAGTATGTTGGGGTCACTACTGGACGGCGTGATGTAACACAGTAGTTGACTAGACATGGACTGGACGGCGAGACGTAACGCAGTGCCATTGCCGAGTTTGGGTATGCAACCGGACGACGAGACTTAACGGGGTTGGCATACTAGGGTAGGGACACCGGACGATGAGATGTAACACGGTGGTCCCTAGTATTGGTGTATATGGATTTAGAATATATGTAAGAAAATTCTAAAGATAAGATAGGAGTAGAGATCTCTTATGTACTATTTGATAACAAAGTATAAAGGATGAAAGCGAGAACGACTTTTGTCTAAGTCAAGAGCCCTAATAACGTGTTTAGTAAGGAGTTTGCCTATGGCAAAGACCTTAGGAAGTAACGACGAGACTGACCCCTTCTCACTCAGCAGGTCGAGAAAGGGTTAGTAGAGGCGGACTTCGAGAAGAGGCAAGGTGAGGCGAGTAGCTGCACCAGCATTGATGAAAAGTCAAGGAACTCGTGAAGAGTCAGAGCTATAATAGTTTAATTTCTTTGTTACATGGTTAGGACTGTAAACTAGAGATTCTGAGTTCATACATTTTAAGTATTGGGATTGTCATTTGCCCAAGTGTTTAGGCTTTTTGTTTGAAATTCTTACACATTTATTTATTCTAAAATGTTGGTTGGGTTGCTCCGGAGTAACTAGTTTTTGGTTTGAGTTATGGTTTGGTTTTTCTAAAAAGAGCGGTTTGTTACATGCCCTCACTCCCCAGCAGAATGGGGTAGCTGAGAGGAAGAACATATCAATAATGAACATGGTAAGATGTTCGTTGAAGGACACCAAGGTGCCTGTTTCTTTCTGGCCTGAGGTAGTGGCTTGGGCTGCTCATGTTCTCAATAGAAGTCCAACCACAGCCAATGATGGAAAAACACCACATGAGATCTGGACAAGTTCACCTTCATCAGTAGGTCACTTTAAAGTGTTTGGTTTCACAGGGTATGTTCATGATCATCTGAGAAAGAAGCTTGATGCAAAAAGCATCAAATGCCATTTTCTGGGAATTTCCACAGAGTCGAAGGCATACAAATTCTATAACCCTATTACAAAAAAAGGTAGTGGTTAGTAGAGATGTTATCTTTGATGAAACTAAAGGCTGTCAATGGGAATCAAGTGCTTCACCTGAGCTGACCAAACTCACATGGGAAGGAGTGAAGATCCATGGGATGATTCAGATACTGAGGAGGAACCAGAAGTTGCAGCAAATAATCAGAATGAAGGGGATGCTCCTCCAGGTCCTACTACTCCTGTAAATACTGCTTCCCCTCAAGGTACAGGAAGTCAACATCATCAAGATGAGGATTCTACAACTGGTCCAGATGGTTTAAGTCTTCCCAGTAGAGATTTGGGTCCTAGAGTTAGGCATCCACCTTCTAATCTGTCAATATATGACTGTAGCTTTAGTGATATTGACTGGTGGGCAATGGTAGCCAAGAAAGAGGATCCTCAAACGTATGAGGAAGCTGCTACAGATGAAAAATGGAGAGAGGCCATGAAGCAAGAGATAGCAGCAATCATAAAAAACAACACTTGGATACTGACTAGTCTGCCTGCTGGTGTTATTCCAATTGGAGTAAAATGGGTCTTCAGAACCAAATTGAAAGAAGAGGGCTCAGTGGATAAATTCAAGGCAAGATTAGTTGCCAAGGGGTATTCTCAGCAGCATGGGATTGATTATACTGAAGTATTTGCACCTGTGGCAAGGTGGGACACCATAAGAACATTTCTGGCTCTTGCTGCACACCATGGCTTGACTGTGTTTCAACTCGATGTTAAAAGTGCTTTTTCTATATGAAGAGCTTTCTGAAGATGTGTATATTGAGCAACCACTGGATTTGTGGTTGCTGAGGAGGAAGGGAAGGTATACAAACTTCAGAAAGCATTGTATGTCCTTAAGCAGGCTCCTAGAGCCTGGTACAGCAAGATAAAAAACTATTTTCTACAGTCTGGTTTTCTAAGATGTGATTATGAGCATACTTTTGTTCATAAAAAAACCAAGGATGGCTTACTGCTGGTCAGCCTATATGTGGATGATCTGATGTATACAAGCAACAATCCAGCCATGATTGAAGAGTTTAAGAAGCTAATGCAGTCTGAGTTTGAAATGACTGACTTAGGCAGAATGAGATACTTCATGGGAGTTGAAGTAACTCAGACTAAAGCAAGCATCTTCATCAATCAGTAGAAATACATAAAAGAGGTGTTGGACATATTCAACTTGACTGAGTGCAACTTTGTGAAAAATCCAATGGCTTCTGGGTTCAAGCTGACAAAAGAAGGAGATGGAGTGAAGGTAAATGCCACTGAGTACAAGCAACTGATTGGGAGCTTGCTTTATGTCACAGCCACCAGGCCTGACATAATGCACTTAGTTTGTGTGCTCAGAAGGTACATGGATAACCCTACTAGGCTCCACATGCTGGTTGCAAAGAGAATTCTAAGGTATCTCAAGGGAACTATGACTACTGGTATTTGGTACAAAAGGGAGGTGAAAACAACGACTTGTTGGGATTCACTGATAGTAATTATGCAAGAGATTCAGATGATCGAAAGAGCACCAGTGGCTATGTGTTTCTTCTGGCAGGTGGAGGTGTGTCATGGGCTTCCAAAAAGCAGCCAGTGGTTACTCTATCAACTACTGAGGCTGAGTTTGTGGCTACCTCATTTGGTTCAACTCAATGTGTCTGGCTAAGGAATGTACTGAAGCAGATGGGGTGGAAGGCATGTGTGGAGGAAGCAACAAAGATGATGTGTGACAATAACTCAGCCATCAAACTCTCCAAAAATCCTGTGATGCATGGCAGGAGTAAACATATTGATGTTAGGTTTCATTTTCTGAGGGATTTGGTCAGAGATGGCATTATTGAAATGGAATATTGTGGGACTATGGATTAGATGGCTGATATCATGACAAAACCACTTAAGCAAGAGGTATATGAGTGCTTGAAAGAGAGGCTTGGAGTTTGTGACATTGCTGAGTTTCAGTTGCAGAGAAGGCTTGAACTGAAGCAATCAGAGAAGGCTTCAGTTCAGGGGAGGATTTGTTGAGGAATCTGAATGGCATATGGATTTGTTTTGGCGTCAGAGGGTGGAGTTTGAATGTGATTGTGTCTTTGGTTTATGTTTTATTGGTCATCAATTTGTTCAGTTTGGTCCCTACTGTTAAATAGGGACTTTAGTTAGTGGATAATGGTCAAGTGATCATGGTAGCTGATTTAGGGGAGTCATTGGGTGGGATTTGGTTTCTGTTATAGCCGAGATTGAGGGTTGAAGTCATGTATATATTTGTTTGGAAAAATACACTTGTATAGCCAAAACTTTCGCGTTGTGCCAATAATAGCCAAATTTGGAGAAATACCACTTATAACCAGAATTTTGAAAGTTTCATGACAAATATATTCATTTTCGTTACAAACTTTAACGGTGTTAGAGACTCCGTCAGTTATGTTAACATTAGAGTGACTAGGATGCCAAATCATCGCACACGTCAGCGACAAATCACCATATCATTTCCACATCATTAAATTTTGATTTATAAAATTAATTAATTTTTTAAAAAAACATAAAATATCACTTATTCCTTCCTGGAGATACGTCTTGCTGGAGATGCGGTCGAATCTCCTGGCGATGACAGCGACTTCTCCCTCCATCCAGCTCGACCCAATCCATTTCCTACCCCATGAAGGCCCCTACTTTCCCCTGCTCATCAATCCTCCTCCTCTCCCATTAGTAGAATCAAATCCAACATTCCTCCTCTAGCTTCATAATATCGAACAGAAGACTCTGCGACACGATGTCGACGGAGGTTGAGCAAAGACGACGAGGCAGAAGGCCAACAAAGGGATGAATCTGGAACAGGGAGCCATCACCATCGCCACCGAAGCTCTAATCCCCAAATCCTTGCCGTCGTCACCACCATCACCATCGATCGACAGTGGAGCTGCGGTTCTAGGTTGTTTTTGCTTGTTCTGGGTTTTCATTTGGAATGGACAGATGGATTGAGGCGGAAGACAGGAAGGAGACTGACTCGCTAAAACACAACACCTAAAAATGGCCAAGTATAACCAATGAAAAGGACTGCAGTATAGTGGCACAAGTAATAAATATCAAATCCACGGGTCTCTAGAGTTACTATTACTCAGCTTCAGTTCATTATCTAGAAAACTAGATTAAGGATTGATTTACTAAACTACTCTACTAATTACAAGTTGGGAACTCACTTAGGTATGATTCCCCCTAGCTCCTCAATTAGGTCCAAGTTGCAATTACCTTTGGTTGATCTACTGTTGATTAAACTGCGAAAGATCCTAAATTAGCTTGGAATCTCTTAAGCTGACCAAGGCCTCTTAGACAGAATACCCGGCAGACAACTAGCCTTCACCGGGATAGACTGCTAAGGCGATTCACACAGATCTCCACTACTGGAATGAATTCCAGTACAAAGCAGTGAATTGATTGACTCTCGCACAACCAATTCACCACTATCAATCAAGGAAGCTCTCTTAACCTAATCAGATTCTATCTATCATAGGTTAAAGCAGAAATCAAGATAAGATGATCAGGCTTCAATTGACTATATAAATCATGCCTCAATCGATTATAATCAAACAATATAGCATCATAAACTTCATACAAGAAAGATCCTCACACATGGAACTAGGGTTCCTCAAAACCTAAGTGAAGGGAAGTTCCTCCATATAGAAGAGAGAGACTGCATAAATCTGATCTAGATCTTCAATCTCCATCTCCAAGCTTGATTCCCGAGCTCTGATGGCAAATAAATCCTCCAAAATAGCTCCAAGAATGTTCTCAAGTCGCTCTCACTCTCTACGGTTCGTCCCTTGGGTGTTTGGGAACCAAAAACCCAGCTCTCCCTTTCCTTTGGCTTGAATCTGCCTTAAAAACCTGATTCTGGGAAAAACACGGTCGAGGGCACGACCTTGTTTTGCTTTTTCCCATTCGTGCCCTTGCCACGTGTTAAAAACACGGTCGTGCCTAAAGATGGACACGGTCGTGTTCTTCTTTACATCCGCCCGTGTTTTAAACATCGCATGAGCTCTCTTCAATAAAGCCTCGACATAAAAAACACGGCCTGGGACACGGCCATGTTCTTCTTTAGGCCAGCCCGTGTTTTGCTTTTCCATCGGTTCAGCTCTCGCACATAAAAACACTAGTGTGCTCGTTTGTGTACACGGCCGTGTTCTTCAGGCCTCCTGTCCGTGTTTTGCCCCAGCTCGACCGAATGACCTCCAAACGCCCTAAATCTCGTGCTTAGCCTTTCCTTTAACGTCTGGGACTTGAAATATGACAAAGTAGCACAACCCAGCGTAAAACGAGCCAAAAATACACGACTACGAGCCACAAACGTATAAGAACTAAGGGTGCAAACATGTGCAAATACATCGTTATCAAATTCCCCTACACTTAACCGTTTGCTTGTCCCCAAGCAAACCTGACTCAAACCAATGCAACTCTCCAGACCTCTATATCAACAAGCACCTTCGATCATCGGTAGAGGATTTCCTAGATCATTTAGCAGCTTACAAGGTCAACCGACGCACAAGTCATCTCCTAGCTTCTTCGGCGAGAGTGCTAGTCTCGAGTCCGCATTATGGCAAATAATGATCAGAGGACAAATGTATCGTGGACGAAGGGACTCTCAAAATCAGAAAGATCATGGACTCACATTTTTAAGGTGCTCTGTTTTCTTCTTGAAGATGGTTGGAATCCTTTTTCATTTTTTTTCTCTTTGTTTTGTTGTTTTTATTCTTTTTTTCCAAGGGTCCCAACCTGTTATTTTAGAAAACGGGGCTCCCACCTAGCAAAGGTTTTGAGGGAGCCCGGCTCTTACCGGCCATGCCGGGAGCTGATGTCTCGAGCCTCATGCGGGGGAAAGAAATGTAAGGGGGCTGGAGGTAGTAGGTGGAAATTGGGAACGGATTCTCGTCTCCCCTTACACACTTTCGCCCTTTTCGCACGGGAGACGTTATTTTAAAGCACATTTTTAGCACCTTTTATTTCAAAACATGATACAGGAGTCCATGACAGGTAGAGAGTCCACAATACCACATAATTCAAGAGTCCTAAGATCACTTATTAACACAGTCAACCAACACAATATGAAGAAGAAATGAGACTTCTTAAATGCATCAACATCCTCCATAGTGCTACACTACCTCCCTAGGTTGCATATTACTATAAAGACTGTCAATTCAAAGCATACTGAGCAGAAAATTGCAAGGAACACGTGCTTGGAGCCCTCAAATTTAAAAATTTGGATAGTGGACTAGGCTCCAAGCACACATATACATCCAAACATTCACACGCATACATAATCGAACATCCCCCCACACTTAAGCGCGACATTGTCCTCAATGGAGGAAAGATAAGGAGGGTAGAACGAAGTTACCAGATCAAGGGTGAATGATGGTGGACGGGGCAGGCATGGCATTCTAGGAGGAGAGCGTAGTCGGAATACAAACACCCCACAAATCTCACAAAGGTTGAGTTATTGACTCTAAAATCAAAGAAAAAAACTGATTCAACCGAGGATAAATAGGGAAATAGATGCAAACCGACTAGTTGGGTTGCCTCCCAACAAGCGCTTCTTTCACGTCGTGAGCCGGACGGTAGCTCCAAAGTTTCGGTCCATGCTAGAACCTCTTTGAAGTTGAAGTTCTCATCTATGAGGTGGAGTCTCAAGTCACGAGCAGGTGGTGTGGCAGGTGATGAAGGCTCGTTCACTTGATGCAACTGAAGTCTCCACCCTCGAGACCTCTTCTTCGTTTCTTCTCTTGTCTCATTGCCCCAAACCAAATATAACTGTATCGACTGACCACCATCGCGTCCACCAAGAGGGACCGATGTCGATGTGGCCTTGGTCTGGCAAAGAGACACTGCAAATGGGTCCTTGCTAAGTAGTTCCTCGAAGTTTGGTGGGGATATTACTTGTATTATAGGGCCGATGCAAGCCTCTTCCACCCCAATTTCATCCTCAGCCTGGACACCACTCGCTTCTTCAACCCCCCCCCCCCTTCTTCTTCAAAATGTGGTCTCTCTCCTTGGAAAAGATCAAGAACTACCTCTTCTTTGCTTTCTTCCTCATCCTCCACAACTTCTTTCCTCACCCTTTCACTCTCTTCTTCTTCCATAACGGATTGGAGAGCAAGTCGCCAAGCAAGGTTCTCAATAAGTTCAGCTTGCACCTCCTCGCTCGGGCCCAACATGTCAGAGCGGAAATGGGGAAGTTGTGATCTACCACCAGAGGATACACTTGATCATGATTATCATGGGAGCATTCTGTGACAACTTTAGTATGCTCCTCAACATCCTCATGATTGCCTTCTTCTTCCTCCTCCTCTACTTGTATGGCAACATAAAGGTTGTCTTGAGAAAACTGTGAACAAGCTTTCTCAATGACCTCTATGTGCATCTTTATGCTCCGAAGGGTATCCTCTGTTTCACGGGGAAAGGAGAAGTCAGTTTGGGCAATGGTCTGGATATGAGGATCCATCTCGGGAAAGGATCTCTCAGATACTCGAGCAATCTGCTCCACGAGAAGCCTCAAGTGATAGTTTGGATCTGGCTGTGGTGTGTAGCATGGCTCTGCCGGATGGCCCGTGAGCGCTGTGGCTAAATCAAGATCTGATGGCCCTTCTGGTTGTGGGAGAAATTCTTCTTGATAAGGAGGTTGTTTTTGATATACCCAGGGGTCTGATTGTTCTCCGTAGTAAGGGGGTTGGTACTGGAACCCGAATCCATAGTCTTCTCCTCCTTGATTGGTCCAGGAAGTCTCGGGGTAATACCACTCACATGGTGGTGGATACCCCCACTGGTTGGCGAAGCCATTAGGACCATGATTCAGATCTGCACCAACAAAAACAAAAACACCCAAGTGAAAAGCAAGGGTGGAAAAAACGCTAAAGTAACAAACTTCGACCTTTCCTAATAATCTAGAAAGTCCCCGAAAACGGCGCCAAAAACTTAACTCGCTAAAACACAACACCTAACAATGACCAAGTGTAACCAATGAAAGGGACTGCAGTATAGTGGCACAAGTAATAAATATCGAATCCACGAGTCTCTAGAGTTACTATTACTCAGCTCAGTTCATTATCTAGCAAACTAGATTAAGGGTTGATTTACTAAACTACTCTACTAACTACTCTACTAATTACAAGTTGGGAACTCACTTAGGTATGATTCCCCCTAGCTCCTCAATTAAGTCCAAGTTGCAATTACCTTTGGTTGATCTACTGTTGATTAAACTGCGAAAGATCCTAAATTAGCTTGGAATCTCTTAAGCTGACCAAGCCCTCTTAGACAGAATACCTGGCAGGTGACTAGCCTTCACCGGGATAGACTGCTAAGGCGATTCACATAGATCTCCACTACTGGAATGAATTCCAGTACAAAGCAGTGAATTGATTGACTCTCGCACAACCAATTCACCACTATCAATCAAGGAAGCTCTCTTAACCTAATCAGATTCTATCTATCATAGGTTAAAGCAGAAATCAAGAGAAAATGATCAGGCTTCAATTGACTCTATAAATCATGCCTCAATCGATTATAATCAAACAATATAGCATCCAAAACTTCACACAAGAAAGATCATAACACATGGAACTAGGGTTCCTCAAAACCTAAGTGAAGGGAAGTTACTCCATAGAGAAGAGAGAGACGGCAGAAATCTGATCTAGATCTTCAATCTCCATCTCCAAGCTTGATTCCCGAGCTCCGATGGCAAAGAAATCCTCCAAAATAGCTCCAAGAATGTTCCCAAGTCGCTCTCTCTCTCTCTAGGGTTCGTCCCTTGGGTGTTTGGGAAACAAAAACCCAGCTCTCCCTTTCCTTTGGCTTGAATCTACCTCAAAAACCCGATTCTGGGCAAAACACGATCGAGGGCACGACCGTGTTTTGCTTTTGCCCATCCGTGCCCTTGCCACGTGTTAAAAACACGCCCGCGTAATTCAAAAACACGGTCGTGCCTAAAGATGGACACAACCGTGTTCTTCTTTACATCCGCCCGTGTTTTAAACATCGCAGGAGCTCCCTTCAATCAAGCCTCGACATTAAAAACACGGCTTGGGACACGATCGTGTTCTTCTTTTGGCTAGCCCGTGTTTTGCTTTTCCATCGGTTCAGCTCTCGCACATAAAAACACTAGTGTGCTCGTTTGTGTACACGGTCGTGTTCTTCAGGCCTCTTGCCCGTGTTTTGCCCCCAGCTCGACCGAATGACATCCAAACGCCCCGAATCTCGTGCTTAGCCTTTCCTTCGATGTCTGGGACCTGAAATATGACAAAGTAGAACATCCCAGCGTAAAACGGGCCAGAAATACACTATTACGAGCCACAAACAGATAAGAACTAAGGGTGCAAACATGTGCAAATACATCGTTATCAGAGACGCCGGCGATTGTTGTCTGGGGATGATTTGTTGAACGTGAGATTTCCGCTGAGAAATGGGAACTATGAGAGATGGGAGAGAGAAAAAAATATTTAATTCATTTATATTTATTTTCACCTCATATTTTAATTGATTTATTGTGGCATTTATTTAAAAAAAAATCCACGTGGGAAATACGTGGAGTAGACAATTGCCACATCGGACGATCCGTTAGTCCAGTAAGCACGATAACTAACACCGTCAAACCATTGGACGGAAGTGGCTATTTTTGGTATTTCTTCAAATTTGACTATTATTGGAACAAACGCGAAAATTTGGCTATACAAATGTATTTTGCCTATTTGTTTCTCTTTCATTCTAATAAAGTCGTTAGTTTACCCCGAGTTGAGACCACAAAACAACTATTAATTGAACACTTGCCTTTTTCTTACTTGACACTATTATCTTAGCGTTGTTGTTGATTGCCTTCATGTGCAGTGCATCACAACTATTTCCTCCGCTGAGCTTTTAACTTCGTCAATTCCGCTTCAATGGTGTTGAAACCAGAGGATTATCTTGTTCTTGACAATGATATCATAACTCATAAGTAGTTACAATTCTAATCTTTGCGTCCTAAGATTGTGGATACACTCATCTGGAGTCATGATTGGCTTGGATGAAGTTCCTATTAGGTTATGGCTGATATTAATGGTGATGATGACCATGAAGACCAAAAATCGTTTGTGCGTGCTTTGCTTGAGTTTTTGCAAATGCACATGCCTAATTGGAATGTAAAATCTAATGCCCTTTGTTTGAACCTACTGGCTCGAGGTATGAACAATGATATTTGTTGTGTGGGTTGACTCGTCATCCGTTCGTCTGATCTCGTCGAGAGGGAAGAAACCTGTGAAAGAGTTGGGGTTGCCCCCCGGATTAAGCTCCGACGCTCAAGTTAGTGTATGTTTGTGGAGAGAGTTGAGAGAATAGATAGAGAGATAGTAGAAAGTGGAAAGTGAGGAGAGAGAGAAAGGTCCCCTTTCAATGGGGAGTTTCATGCCTTTAAATACTTCGTAGTGGCGTTCGTCCGGAGCACGTTACCGATTGAGCGCACCCTTATTTAGTCCGCGCGTGGAGTATTTAGTAACACTCCCAACAATTGCCCCCCAAGCTGGTGGTGAGTCTTAACTCATCGCTCGCTTATTATTTTTTTTAAAAATCTTCGTCGGTAATTTTGGGTGGAGCCCTATGTACCCCAGTTGCCCCCCAGCTGGTGGCGCGTTTGACTGACGCGGTGCCAGCTTCTTGCGTCTTGCCCCCCAGTTGGTATATTTCATTAAGGCGTGTAGCCTTCGCCCCTTGTAGATTCTTCATGGAGCTCTCCTCGTCGGGTTTTTTTTTTTTAACCCTCAGTTTGGAGTTCTCCTCGTCGGGGTTTCTAACCCTCAGTTTGGAGTCTTCGATGCTCTTATTGAAGTCTTATTTGTGTGCTTCGTTGAGACTTATTTGTGGCTCCTGGTCGGGGTTTTTAACCCTCAGTTTGGAGTCTTCGATGCTCTTATTGAAGTCTTATTTGTGTGCTTCGTTGAGACTTATTTGTGGCTCCTCGTCGGGGTTTTTAACCCTCAGTTTGGAGCCCTCCTCGTCGGGGTTTTTAACCCTCAGTTTGGAGTCTTCGATGCTCTTATTGAAGTCTTATTTGTGTGCTTCATTGAGACTTATTCGTGGCTCCTCGTCGGGGTTTTTAACCCTCAGTTTGGAGCGCTCCTTGTCGGGGTTTTTAACCCTCAGTTTGGAGTCTTCGAGGCAATGTGCCCTCTCCCTTAGCGCCATTAACGCTCATGAGAGTAAAATATTTCAATATTTGATAGTGATAAAGGGATAGAGTACTTAGCTTTCTATTGGCGAAGCGGCGCTAAGAGTTGTTAAAAGGCAGATGCTGCGCCATTGAAGCACAAGGCGTGTATGTAGCCTACTGGTACTGTTGCTTGTCACGCGAAGGAGTGACGCGGGTTCGAACCCTCGCGGTGATGATATTATTTTTGATGGGGCGCCTGTTGGATGCGCGGTGCGAGTTGGGCCGTGCGCTTGTGGCGGGCTTAGTGTGACGCGGGTGAGTCGGACGGGCCGCGAGTTGGGCCTGACGCGGAGTGGAGGACTGGAGGTCAGGCGGAGGTTGACTTGGCGAAGCGGCACGAAGAGTTGTTAAAAGGCAGACGCTGCGCCATTGAAGCAGAAGGCTTGTATGTAGCCTACTGGCAGTAGTGCTTGTGAGATGGAGTGATGGAGCGGGTTCAAGTCCTCGTGGCGACAATAATATTTTTGATGTGGCGCGTCTTGGATGCGGGGCGCGAGTTGGGCCGCATTACGCGCGAGGTGGACAGGCGGTGATGTGGGCCGCAAGCATGGGTTGTAGGGTGGCGCGGCGAAGTAGTTCAAATCTAGGCGTTGCACTATTGAAGCACAAGGCTCGCTTGTAGCCTGCTGGTAATGATGCTTGCCTGTCGGAGGAGTGGCACGGGTTCGAGTCCTCGCGCCGACGAGATTTTTTGAAAAGTGCTGATCTGATGGATGCTGCGCGGGCCGCGACTTGGTTGGGCCGCGCGGGCTGGTGGGTCGCGCTTGGTGACACGGGCTGGTGCAGTGCGCGGCTCGGGCCGCTACTTGGTTGGGCCGCGCGGGCTGGTTGGGTCGCGCCTGGTGACGCGGGCTGGTGCAGTGCGCGGCGCGGTCCGGTTGGGCCGCGCGGGCTGGTGGGTCGCGCCTGGTGACGCGGGCTGGTGGAGTGCGCGGCGCGGGCCACGACTTGGTTGGGCGGCGCGGGCCGCGCGAGCTGGTGGGTCGCGCCTGGTGCGACGCGGGCTGTGATGCGGTGTGGAGCGTGACGCGGGCCCGCAAGTGAAGTCAGGGCCGCATGAAGGATTGGGCCTGGTGCGACGCGGGCCGCGACCTGGTTGGGCCGCACCGGTTGGTGGGTCGCGCCTGGTGACGCGGGCTGGTGGAGTGCGCGGCGCGCCGCGACTTGGTTGGGCCGCGCGAGCTGAGGGTGGAATCGGGATCGGGTGAAGCACAGGGAACACCAAGAAGCAGAAAAATTGCTCGTCGCGGCGGGCTGTAGCAAACCTTTTTTTTTTTCATCCACTTTCCAGCCTGGTATCCACTTGCCTATTACTTTGCATCGATGCTTGTGCCTTTCTTTTTCTGACACAAGGAGAAAGTAGTGGTAACCCTTGTATTATTATTATTTTTTTTTTTTTGGGAAAAGCTGTATGAGGATGATGTGACTATTCTCGACGGGACAGCCGACTTCTGCTTTTAATCGTCAAAACTCTGGCGACCGAAATTTGGAAGGAGCATGGCGCTAGAAGGAGGGCAACTTTTCTGTTTCTTGGAGAAAATGTTCTTACCAATGCAGCAGCCTCCTTTGTTTTTGCGTCCTCTATCCCTCGGAAATCAGATGAACGAAATTGATGAGTTGCCCCACGGTGGGCACCAATTGTTTGAACCTACTGGCTCGAGGTATGAACAATGATATTTGTTGTGTGGGTTGACTCGTCATCCGTTCGTCTGATCTCGTCGGGAGGGAAGAAACCTGTGAAAGAGTTGGGGTTGCCCCCCGGATTAAGCTCCGACGCTCAAGTTAGTGTATGTTTGTGGAGAGAGTTGAGAGAATAGATAGAGAGATAAAGTGTAGAGAGATAGTAGAAAGTGGAAAGTGAGGAGAGAGAGAAAGGTCCCCTTTCAATGGGGAGTTTCATGCCTTTAAATACTTCGTAGTGGCGTTCGTCCGGAGCACGTTACCGATTGAACGCACCCTTATTTAGTCCGTGCGTGGAGTATTTAGTAACACCCCCAACACCCTTGAATGCTAAATAGAGACAATTAATTAATTAATCCATGGATGATGGGAGTCAATTGTGAATTTGTGATGCACGTGTAAACAGGGGTTTAGTGGATTGACACTAGTGGAAGGATGATTAGTTAGACAATACAATAACTGATTACTACTCGTGTATTTATAGATATATAACTATCACTAATCACATGATTAACAAACTACAGCAGATATGGCAGCAAAGACTGACATAAGGACTGCAGAAACTGCAGCTGCTTCTCTGTGGGCAACACAGTTTCTTTTCGTTTGGTTGTTGTATCATCTTCCATGGCGACAACAGTCGTTGCAAGAAGTCCGAGTTTCTCAGTCGTGAAAGGCATGAATTACTTGAGCCCACTTCCTGTTTTCTTTTGTACCATACTCTGTTTAATCAAGTTCGAATTTGATGCACATTGCAGAGGATTTAACGTTGATGCAAGTAAGAAATGGTCATCATGATCAGGTGGAACCAATAAGGGGAGTTCGATGACCAGATCTACATTTAACATTGACTATGCCGGTAACAAGATGGTAATGGCAAGGAGAGTACAAACTACAAAGGGAGAATGAAGCAGATTACATTCCTCGATGTAGCTGCAGACAGATGTATAAATTGCAAATTTACTGCTAAGAAAGAAAACCCTTTCACAACATGATGGTTCTTTTTTGGGATTTATTGAGTGCTCTCCCTCTATGCTGTCACCATGCTTGACAATGTTTGTTTAACTATACAACCCAGCCCCAAGCCAGGAGAGAAGAAACACATACATCATGCAGTAAAAAGGATTAAAAAGAGCCTAAACAACTCAACTTTTCTACCATCCGGCTCTCGAGACAACTAGAAGCAGTACTTAACTGAAGAAAACACTTGCTTCTTCTTTAGATCACGGTTCCACTAGGAATCAACGCGTCCTTGATCACAGTCACAATCCCACTCTTGATGAAGTACCCATCAGTTTCCCTTGCCGCTTCTTGCACATTGTCGTTGTTAAGGATCTGAAAGGAATGGAGAACAATAGAACCAATGTTAGATACATTATATAGGAGAAGAAACTTGGCATGTTATTAAGTAAGATAAGTGGGATTACGACCATCACGTTGTCACCAATTCGAGCATTCTTGTCGATGATTGCTCTCCTGATGTGGGAGTTCTTGCCGATGCCAATAGGGACGCTACCCTTGGCAGCCAAGAAACTCCTATCTGCATCAGTCTATAGCAACAAGATTTGGAGGAAATGAAGTCAACAAGATGAAAACATAGACTTAGAATTTTAATGGTTAAATAGCGGTATCGGTAATGTTTCAAGGTTCATGTGTACCTCATAGTAGTCAGCTCCCATCAGTAAAGTATCTTCGATGATTGCACCTTCTGAGATGCAGGACCGGAGCCCAACCACGGAATGGTGGATTTTGCAGTTCTGATCAAAGATGAGAAACAAGTGAACATGAATATCCAGTGCATTAACAAGGCATGTTTTTGGACCACATATTGTACCTTAATGACACATCCTTCCCCAATCACACTGTCTGTGACATCAGCATCAAGCATCTTGGATGGAGGTAAGTACCGGGGTTGCGTGTAGATAGGAGAAGACCGATCATAGAAGCTGCAAAGCGAGTCTAAGTTTTAATAAACAATTTTGATTATTTTTCCAGATTATCGAGCTAGAATCAGAAGTAGTACCTGAAATCTGGAATTGGTTTCTTTGTTATTCCAAGATTCGCATTGTAAAAAGCCTCAATCGTACCAATATCTTCCCAGTATCCATCATACAGGTAAGCGTGCACCTATTGAGTTTGGGTGAAATCATTAAGATGGTGGCAAAAAAGTGGCATATGCAGAGAGCACAAAACATAGGCATACTTCTAATAGTATATTGATGGGGAGGTATACTCACTCTCTTGCCAATGGATGTAGCTCCAGGGATTACTTCACTACCAAAATCATTGGCCCCAGGAAACTTATCCCTGAGTAGCTCTAGCATCACATGTTTGCTGACCACATATATACCCATGCTAGCGATGTAAGGCATCTCTTTTGCTCTTTGATCATCCAGGCCCAAGATAGTCGTATCAACCTAGAGAAAAAGAAATATGTCGAACCATAAGCTCGAATCGTAGAAACCATAGATGTTAATAACTCCACATGATAAGAGATACTACCTTCATAGCTTTAAGCTGGTCGCCTTTGGGTTTCTCGGCAAACTCAATAATCCGACCTTCTTCATCGATCTTCATCAGACCAAATGCAGTAGCACGCTTCTCATCCATCGGCAATGCAGCAACGGTAATGTCTGCATCAGTCTCCCTATGCGCCTGAATAAATTTCTCGTAGTCCATTCGATAAAGATGATCCCCAGCAAGAACCAAATACTCCAGCACATTATGCTCCTCAAACAACCACAAGTACTGCCTCACTGCATCAGCCGTCCCCTGAGCCATACAACAGCAAACAATATGAATGGCATCAAAACTTCCAACAGCAATGCATACCAAGTAATTGCAGATCGTATTGTTTACCTGGAACCAGTTGGGATTCTCTGGACTCTGCTGAGCGGCGAGAACTTCCACGAACCCTTCATTCTTGTAGCCACCCATGTTACTGGCATAAGCCCGGGAGAGGTGCCGATTAAGGGATGCGGAGTTGAACTGGGTAAGAACATAAATCTTGGAAATGTTGCTGTTCAAACAATTGCTGACAGGGATATCGATCAGCCTGTAATTAGCTCCTAGAGGGACAGCAGGCTTTGCCCTCTTCTTGGTCAGTGGGTAAAGCCGGGTTCCAGCCCCACCTCCCAATATAACTCCTAGTACACTCTGTAATGAACACAATAACATGAGGAAAGATTCAGATCGCAGCCACCCAAAGGGGCTTTCCTTCTCCAATGAATTCCAAGATCAGCCATTCCCATTGAGCATCTAATCACCACAAAGCCATCACCTTTTGGCGCGAATCCAATGAGAAATTACCCCAAAAAAAAAACAGCATACAACCGATTCCAGCTCACAATGCAGGCAAAACATTCACAATTCTACACCGATTACCCAGAATAGAAAGAAATGGAACAAAAATTCAGTCTTAGAATCGATCAAACTCACCCTACTGGCATCAGGATCAAGACAGGTCTGAGAGTTCCTGGAATCCGAAACAGCCTTCGGGGAAACGATCAGCGGAGTCCTCACATCCCGGCCGCTCTTCCCAGACCGTCTAGCGGACAATGCCCGGGAGGAAACCTTCTCGCCGGAGAGCTTCGACGACCAGAACCCCAAGCTCCTTGCCTCCGATTTCCGGCCGGCATTGGTGGAGGGAGAAGCTGACGATGATGAAGGCACTTTGAGAGCTCCCATCGATGCGGTCGCCATTTTTGTTCCGGTCAGAGAATTTAGCGAAGCTCTAGCTCTCTCTGCTCTCACTGAAATGAAGGGGAGGAAGAGTGAAAGAGTGAGCTGTGGAGTGCTTTTTTTGGGATCTCTGATATTTGATGGGACCTCGAGATCCGATTTGCCCATCACTTTGCAGTGAAATTGCTTCGGTTGGCAGCAAAATTGAGGAAACTGTCAGGGGCATTTAGGGGAATGACAAAATGAGAATTATTTTAAAAATAAATATCTTGTAACAGAGCTAAAAATATTGGTGGCTGGCATTAGCATATGGCTATTGGGTGAGAGATCGACGGTCACATGATTCCCTCTGAATTTTGTGTGCGGAATTTTGGGGGAAATTTATTTATTTATGTACTAATAATAAATCTTGTCACAAGGATTCGGAACCGTCCATTGCTTTTGGGGTTTTCATTTTGCAATTATTACGGGGTGTGGGTAATTAATTATCAATTTTGTCGTGATAGGATATCATTGGGAATTGATTTGCTTAATTCTTTTATTATGTCAACCGCTAATTAGATGTTTCCAATTTTTGGCACGTGTACATTCTTCCCATTCCTGCAGGTTAGGGTTGAAAACGGGCTCAATTCAATTCAACTGGTCGAACAACTTATTTAATTGTTGATTTGTTTGCAGGGTTTAGTATTTGCCAGTTTTCCGACTAACTTGATTTGTTCGAAATCTTGTCGATGACAAGTTTATAATAATGAATTTGGATTGGTTCGTTGAGATTATTTTGGAATGTTTTTTTTTTCTTTTCTAGATCATGCATAAATCTTGTCGATGACAAGTATATAATAATGAATTTGGATTGGTTCATTGAGATTATTTATAATGTTTTTTTTTTTCCTTCTCTAGATCATGCATACTGGTATGCCTCTAGTTTTTGTGCTCTAATTAGGTTAACCAAAACTGTGATGGTAACAATCCATTTCCAAAATGCTAGATCATCTATGATGGTTTCGAGATTTCATAACCTCTTGTGCTACACTTAGTTGAAGAATGACAGCAACTCTCTTGTTTCAATTAGGCCCAAGTTTACTTATTAATTTACTTTACTATCTATCATGTGCGTGCTCGAATATTTTTTTAACACATATTAGTAGTTTTGTCGGCATCGAAGTTCGGATCGAAAACGCCACTATGAAAGAAGGAATGTCATCATCGACAGTTAACATGCGTTTCTTTGGAGGAATGCATTTGAAACAAGTTTGGTCATGTTTTCACTTTCCTTTTAACTCCGCTTGGTGATCGCTCATGCCTAAGAGTATGTGAACATTTATTCTTATTCGTGTAAGTGACGGATACCTGCAACATAGAAGACTAGTAGTGTGATGTTTGTGCACTTGGATATGCATTTCTTCCAAGAATAACATATTAGGTCAAGTTAACTTTGATCATTCAATTACTTTTGTTTTAGTTCGTTTATAATTACGTACCAATATAAGTAAAGCCAATTCATTATCATGAGTTTGGACCACCTTTTTAGTAGAATGGGAAGAATACTGGATCTAACTAGCATATGCCAACAAATTTGGATCCCTCAATTGTCCAACGACAACAATTGATTTGGGTTGTTTTGCAGCTTAAAGCTTCACATTTTACCAAAGGAATGTGAGGTTGCTGCCAAGTCTCCATCGTGATTAAATTTGGTAGGCTGGGTTCAATGTATACAAACTCAAAAGGGCAAACAAGAGATCATGGGGCTTACCAATAGCTCTTTTTCTTCAAAACGACAAATTGCATTTGCCCATTCGGTTCAATGTATAACACTATGCACAAATAATTTTTTAGGACTGGTTTGAAATCTAACATTTTAGAGGAAAAAATTCAAAACTATCACTATAAAAAAATTATAAAAATACCACTCATACTCAACAATTTCCAAAAATACCACCATTCCACACAAAACGCGTCTCGAAAGCGCGATTTTAAGTCAAAACCCGCCTCGAAGGCGCGGTTCACATTCAAACCACGCGTTCAAGAGGCGGTTTGACCCTTCCTATCTGTCAAACCGCATCACCACATGGCGGCCCATGCGACCGCGCGATGGGGAAGTGATTTGACGGCCAAACCGCCCGCCAGCTCAACGGTCCGCGTCGCTCAGTCAAACCGTTGCCCCGAGGCGCGGTTTTAAGTGGGGTAAAATGACGAAACCACCCCTCCCGCACGCGGTTTCGTCCCTATATAAACCCCACCCTCCTCCCATTTTCTGCACACCCAACCCACATTCCCCCCTCTCTCTCTCTCTAACTCCTCATTCTACCCACCCCCTCCCCACCCAAAAACCTAAGAATTAGTTGTTTTGTTGGTTGTGGCTAAGTTCGATCTACCTTCAAAAAAATTTTACTTTGGTTTTCACTCAAAAACCATCGAATCTCTGTCTGGATTCTGAAAAAATGGTCGATTTTATCCAAGAAGAGGGTATTTACTATGATGATTATCAAGCGGTACGTACTCATTTTACCTAATTGTTGTTGTTGTTATGATGATTTATTTAATTTATATACTAATTGATTTATGTTGTTGTTATGCTATCGTAGGTTGGGCCGGATGTTGATATATACAATCAACGATATTATGTTGATCAAGGACCGATTAGTCCGACTATTTTATACGATCAAGCCAATCATCGTTCAAGAGACGTTTGGAACGACCACAAGGTAGATATTATCTATCATCCCTTGTAATTTGTATTTTGTTAAATCACTTTATTTGTTTGTACAATAATTTACTTAATTGTTAATCGTATTGATTATTTTCAATAATTTAAATCAATACAATATAACACTTATTTAGACTCTTTATAAAGAAATGCATGTCTAAGGAAAGGGGGTCTTAAGCAATCATCATGATCCCCCCATGACCTGGGAAAATCGGGTTCTAAACGATCATCGGATCCCCCCTTTTTCTGTCATAAAGACTGTGTTTCTAAGGAGATGTATACCTCTCCTAATAGTCTTACGAGTGTACTTGTATTGCTTTAAATTATTGAAAATAATCAATACGATTAACAAAAGAATATATTTGATTTTATGTGTATGTGTACAAAAAATAATTGTACTTAAATTTTGAAAATTATTTTAGTCATGTTAAAATTAATGTTTATTAGATAATGTATAGTTCTCTAAAACAACCTTGATTTAATTAATATTGCATCTTATAATACATTTATATATGTATAAATCATCAACTTATAGTGAAAGTTAAATTCTTCTCTAGGATGGATACCATATAGTCCGCTATAGGGGCACGACGAATGTGCTTGAATGGAAACCTCATCTTGCCCTTTCTAAAAAGGGCAAGATTGGATTCGATTAGGCACTTTAATGGAATCAAGATCGACCGCCAACTCATCACAGCATTGGTAGAGAGATGGCGAAAGGAGACACACTGCTTCAATTTTCGTGAAGGCGAGTGCACCATCACACTTAAGGATATCGCCATCCTAACCGATTTGCCCATCGATGGTGATGTTATTTGTGTGGACTCTACGCCACCACCTAAAGTTGTTGCATATATGAGTGGTTGGCAGCATTTTATATGGACGGTCATCGGGTTGTGTCCTCCAGAAAAGGGATATAACACGCTAAAACACAACACCAAACTGCGACCAAGTACAATCGCAGTCTGGAAATGCAGTAAGTGGAAAGCTCTATTTGTCAACCCGGGGCCTAAATCTACTGCCTACTCCGTGATTATTTATTATCTAGCAAGCTAAGTCGAGTGATTGTGGTTTTAACTAAAAGCAGTAAGAAAGCAGGAAATGGTTCAAAGTTCTTTCGCAAGGGGAGAGTCACTCGGGAAGGAGTCCCCCTAGATCCTTAGTTAGGTCACAATTGTAATTACCCTGGGTTGATTAACTGTTGATTAAACTGCGGAAGATCCTACAGTAGTTTGGAATCTCTTAAACTGACCAAACCCTCTCAGTCCAACTACCCGGCAGACGACTAGTCTTCACCGGGATAGAAAGCTGAGGCTATGAACACAAAACTCCACTACTGGAATTAGATTCCAGTACAAAGCAGTAAATCGATTAACTCTTTGTATAATCAATCTACCACTACCAATTGATGAAGCTCTAACAACCTAATCAGATTCTATTTATCTCAGGTTGCAGCAGAAATCAAGAAAAGATGATCAGGCTTCAATTGACTCAATGAATCATGCATCAATCGATTAAAATCAATTAGTATAACAATCTCAAGTCATTACAATCAAGATCCCTAACACATGGAACTAGGGTTCTTCATACCCAAGTGAGAGAAAGTTCTACTCCATAGAGAGAGAGAGGAAAATAGAAATCAGAGTAGTCATACTCATAAAATGAGGATAATCTACTCTGGGATGTCGATCTTCACTCCTGGGGATGCAATCTGGGCTTCAATGGTAAGAAATACACTCCAAATAGCTCCTAGGGTTTGTTCTTCGCACTTTCTCTCTCTAAAGCTCCGTGTTTTGCTCAAAAACTCCATTCCCTCTCCTTTGGCTCGAAATTGGGTTAAAACCCAGAATTTCCCGATCACACGGCCAGGCCACACGGCCGTGTGGATTCCCAGTTTGCCCGTGTGAGAATGGAAACGCCGTGTTTCACTTAAGTGGTCTTCAGGCATGCTGCACAGCCAGAGGCACACGGTCGTGTGGATTTCCAGTCTGGCCGTGTGAGCTCCCTGAACTTTCCACACGGCCACAAGGGGTCCAATACACGGCCAGTGCGATTTGCCCATGCAAAGTTGTGCCACATGGCCAAGTCACACGGCCGTGTGGAATTTTAGGCGTGCCCGTGTGGGTTCCTCAGCTTCTCACCAAATGTTCAATCTTAGTCCAGTCGACCCCGAACTCGTTCCCAAACCTTCATTCACGTACTAGGACCTAAAATATCACAAACGAGAACAACCTATCGTGAAATCGGCCTAAAACATGAGAAATAAGACTCAAACGATATAAGAATGGTGGACAAAAACATATGTATATATCAAGTCATCAAGAGATCACGATGCGGATGGTAATCTACCATTGTCCAAGGGCCAAGTATCCATCACTTGGTTGACAACGGAGATCAGGCGTAAGCACAACCCTGAGTTTGGAGGCATTCCCCTCACGGAGGAAAGTTCAGAGCGTGATAAAGACATTTATGCACGTGTCTACATCCTCGGCATGATCGGAGGAGTTTTCTTCCCCAATAAATCCAACGATTTAATCATCAATTCATGGTTGAAGATCATACTTGGGCGTTGGGATGATATGGGAAACCTGAGTTGGGCATCTGCTTGCCTAGCTCATCTCTACCGCTCCCTCTGTAATGCTAGTGCGAGAGTGGTGAAGGAGATTGATGGGGTCAAGTTCATCGTCCAATTTTGGGCTTGGGAGCATTTGCCATGGATTGCACCGAAGGTAGACCCCGACAAGGAATGGGGACCTGACCATCCCCTACGACATGAAGCTTATGGTTGTAGGTAAATATTTTCTATCCCACTCATAGTTCTCACCTTTTTTTACTAATTGGGTATTTTAAAACGAAATTTTTATTATGTATTAACATGATGTACTTTTTGGAATTAATAGGTGGCTTGGTGAAAAAACATGCGACGACCTAGGAGCGCAAAAGTTGGAGGAGTATCATAGGAGGCTGGATCGCCTTTGGGAAGCAGAGGTGACCATCATAATACACTATTACTTCCTGCTTTATTTTCAACTTACATTATTATGTTTCTTAATGATCCATTTTTTCTGCACCTTCGTAGCTTAAGTTCGATCTGTATCCAGAACGCATTGGCGCGCATCACGTCCACAAGTTCCCGTTGCATCCCGGTTAATGGTGCACCCGAGTTTCACTAATCTGCCACCATATAGTGGAGTGGCACTTGCCGGATCGATGTCTACGATAATTCGGACTTGAGAAATGCCTACCATTGGAAGTCCCAGACAGTCAGAGGGGGTACCACGGGAAAGATGGTCGACAAGGATCTACTAATTGGCCGGAGGAGTTTGTAGAATTGATCCATCTGTGGAACGTTAGGCAAGACCAGGATATTGTGACGGGATTAGATGTGGGGCGGATGGGCTACCATGACCCATACATGGAAACATACCGAAGACTATCTGTTCGTTACATGACCCCCAAAGGTGCGGCAGACGGACCTTTGGTAAGTAATTCAGTCTTTATTTATTTAGGCATGCGGTGCATTACTTCTTAAATGGCTCACGTTGTTATTTTCTTCGATTTAGGTTGATGGCATCGAGCGTATACACAACCTCGCTCGTATTGCAGATCATTCGGCTGCGGGTCGAGAGGTGGGGCTCATTCGAAGGATAGCGAGCAATCTCCTTGGCTGTATGAGAGCGCGCTCACGTGACCATCACAGATATCCGTCAGTTCCCCCAGCTACACCGCAGCCGGTGACGGAGGATGTCCCCCACGTGCCTCCGCCGGTCCATAGAAGGCCAAACAAGGCTACAAGGGATCGACCTCACGTACCGGATATCAAGCCGATTGAGGCGTGGAAGGTGCCTACTCCATTGGAGGTGTGCAGCGGTGCAGGGTCGAGTACTCAGTATGATCCCTGATCGAGTTTTCACTACGATCCCCGACCAAGTGCTTTCTACGACCCCAGTACTCAACATGATCCTCGCCCCAGTTT